GTGTGTGTGTGTGTGTGTGTGTGTGTGTGTGTGTGTGTGCGTGTGTGTGTGTGTGTGTGTGCTTGCGTCCCTGCTTTGATCCTGATGTCCAGTCGAATATATGGGGGATGGGTGTTAAGACAAGTTACGTATTCAAATGTTGTGTGTGTGTGTGTGTGTGTGTGTGTGTGTGTGTGTGTGTGTGTGTAACAGTTCCTGCAGAGCCTCTCGATCACAGCTTATATGCCGGTCCTTCAGTTTTCTCTCAGAATAAGTTTAATTGTATGTACGAGAGGCATACCAAAAGTTTTTTTTTACCTGACCATGAAGGAATAAAAGTAGAAAGCTGAAATTTGGCGTGAAAGCCAACAATCATCTTTCAAGAATGCTTGTAAATTTTGGGGCATTTCAAATTACTGGTTTCAACACACCCCCCCCCCCTTTTTTTACTACCCATTACGCCATCTGGCGTTTAGGGCTGCAACAAAGGATCTCCAGCTCTGTCTGTTTTGGGCCATCTTGGTCAGCGTTCCCCACCGCCGCACTGTAAGTGAATAGGAATATGTTGTTCTTCAGTTTAGACACAAAAAATGGAGAAAATTGAGCACAGTGCAGTAATGAAGTTTTTGTTCTTGCAAGGCAAGCAGCTACACGAAACTAATTTTGCTGAAAGACTTGTAACCATGGATGAGACATGCATCAACCACTACGATCCTGAGTCAAAATCTGCATCAATGCAATGGAAATCGTCCTCGTCTCCAACACCAAAGAAGGCAAAGGTGCAGCCATAAAGTGGAAAAGTGATGCTACCAGTTTTTTTAGAGCCAAGACGGAGTGGTTATGACAGATATCTTGAAAACGAACATACGATCACCGGAGAAAATTATTCCTACCAGCTGAAAAAAATTGCGCCGTGGAAAGACCCGAAATGGCATTTTGCTGCTTCAGAAAACGCGCCAGCACACACTTCAAGTAAAGCTGCAGAAACTGCGCAAGAAAATGACTATGAAGTTTTGCCACATCCACGCTATTCTCTAGATTTAGATCTAGCCCCGCCCGACTTTTTTAAATTCCCAAACCGAAAAACAATTTAAAAGAAAGCATTTTAAAAGTGATGATGAGGTCGAAGAAGCTGCAGAGGGCTGATTTTCTGACAAAGAGAGGGTCTTCTCTTCTCACGGTCTTTTCAAGGTCATACACAGATGGCAAAAATGTATAACTCTGGGAGGCAAATACATATAGAAAGATTAAAGTTAGTACCAAATTTTAGCTTTCTACCTTTATTCCTTCATGGTCAGATAAAAAATGTTTGGTATGCCCCTTGTATGATTGCGCGTGTGCGTATGTGTGTGTGTGTGTGTGCGTGTGTGTGTGTGTGTGTGTGTGTGTG